CCCTCCCTTCTTGAAGAAACCCTCCCTTGATGGCATATGTCTCTTCAGCTACTACACTACTTTTCTGCTCCCCTTTACATAGAGAATCTTCTCACTTTCTTTCTACTGCATCTTAACCTTTTATGATACTTAAAAACTTTTTTTTATAAATTTATTTCTTATTGGCTGTGTTGGTTATTCGTTGCTGCGTGTGGGCTTTCTCTAGTTGCAGCGAGCAGGGGCCACTCCTCGTTGCAGTGCGCAGGCCTCTCACTGCAGTGGCTTCTATCGCTGCAGAGCACGGGCTCCAGGCACACGGGCTTCAGTAGTTGCAGCACGTGGGCTCAGTAGTTGTGGCTCACGGTCTCCAGAGCACAGGCTCAGCAGTTGTGATGCATGGGCTTAGCTGCTCCGCAGCATGTGGGATCCTCCCGGACCAGGGATTGAATCCTTGTCCGCTGCATTGGCAGGCAGACTCTCAACCACTGCACCACCAGGGAAGCCTGATACTTAAAAACTTTTATGAGTCTTTTATCCCCGCTACTCTTCTAAGACTACCTTTACCTGGCTTCTACCCTCTTGATCACTACTACTCTAGTCCAAACCACCATCATCTCTCACCTAGACTTATCAAGGTCACCAATAACCTTCATGTTGCCAAATCCAATTCTCAACTTACTTGACCTAACAGCAGCATTTAAGCAGTTGATCATTTCCTCTTTCTTGAAGAACTATCTTTACCTGGCTTCTATCCTCTACTGATTTTCTTCTCACCTCACTGGACACTTCTCAGTCTCTTTGTTGGATCTTCTTTCTCTTCTCAACCCTTAAGTATTAGAGTATTCTAGTGTTCCATCCTTGGACTTCTACTCAGTTTTAGCTTACACTCATCTTAGAAAATCTTAACCAATTCCATCATCTTAAATGTCACCTATAAGCCAATAAATCCAAAAATGTATATCTACAGATTTAACCTCTCCCCTGAACTCCAGACTCATATCTCCAATAACTATTCTACTTGGAAGTCTAACAGTATTCCAAACTAAACCTTTCTAAAATCAAACTCTTGAGTGCCTGTTTATCAAACCTAATTCCCTTCAGTCTTCTCCATCTCAGTAACTGGCTCTGTGATTCAGCCTGTTGCTCAGGCCAGAAATATTGGGGTCATTGTTGACTGCTCTCTTTTTCTACTACCCTCATTCAATCCATCATCACATTGCATCAGCTCTGCCTTCAAAATATATCCCAGGGCTTCCCTGGTGGCGCAATGGTTAAGAATCTGCCTGCCAATTCAGGGGACATGGGTTCAAACCCTGGTCCGGGAAGATCCCACATGCTGTGGAGAAACTAAGTCCGTGTGCCACAACTACTGAGCCTGCGCTCTAGAGCCCGTAAGCCACAACTACTGAGCCCGTGTGCCACAACTACTGAAGCCGTCATGCCTAGAGGCCATGCTCCACAACAAGAGAAGCCACTGCAATGAGGAGCCTGTGCACCTCAACAGAGTAGCGCCTGCTCACCGCAACTAGAGAAAGCCCACACGCAGCAATGAAGACCCAACACCGCCATAAATAAATAAATACATTTATAAAAATATATATATATATCCCAAGTCTGATCAGTTCTCACTAACTTGATCATTACTACTCTAGTCCAAACCGCCATCATCTCTCACATAGATCCCTTCCTTGTAACTGGCTACCCAGCTTCCACACTTCCCCCACGATAGTCTTTTGGGAGTGATCCTTTTACAGTATAAGTTAGGATATGGTACTTCCCTATTCAAAAATCCTCCAATGATTCACGTCACACTTAAAATAAAACCCAAGGTTTTTTCCATGATCTACGAGGTCTCTTGCTATATTCTGACATTATCTTCTCCCATTCTCCCCTTCCTTTTTTTTGTGCTTCAGTCACACTAGTCTCATTGTTATTCCTCAAACATATGACAAGCACATTCCCATCTCTGGACATTTGCACTTGCTGTTCACTCTGCCTAAAATACTCTTTCTCCAGATATTCACATGGCTCATTTCTCTGTTCAAATGTCACCCCCTCACAGGGACTACTTCATCTAAAATAACTCCTTCATTTGCTGGGATTTTACTCTGCTCTATTTTCTTTCATAGCTTGTAACATTAAAGGGATTATATCATGTATGCATTTGGGTTTTTTTAATTATTTTTTTATTTTTTAACATCTTTACTGGAGTATAATTGCTTTACAATGGTGTGTTAGTTTCTGCTTTGTAACAAAGTGAATCAGATATACATATACATATATCCCCATATCCCCTCCCTCTTATGTCTCCCTCCCACCTGCCCTATCCCACCCCTCTAGGTGGTCACAAAGCACCAAGCTGGTCTCCCTGTGCTATGTGGCTGCTTCCCACTACTTATCTATTTTATGTTTGGTAGTGTATATATGTCCATGCCGCTCTCTCACTGTCCCAGCTTACCCTTCCCGCTCCCCATATCCTCAAGTCCATTCTCTAGTAGGTCTGCGTCTTTATTCCCATCCTGCCCCTAGGTTCTTCATGCCTTTTTTTTTTTAGTTTCCATATATATGTGTTAAAATATGGTATTTGTTTTTCTCTTTCTGACTTACTTCACTCTGTATAACAGATTCTAGGTCCACCCACCTCACTACAAATAACTCAATTTTGTTTCTTTTATGGCTGAGTAATTTTCCATTGTATATATGTGCCACATCTTCTTTATCCATTCATCTGTCGATGGATACTTAGGTTGCTTCCATGTCCTGGCTATTGTAAATAGAGCTAATGAACATTTTGGTACATGACTCTTTTTGAATTATGGTTTTCTCAGGGTATATGCCCAGTAGTGGGATTGCTGGGTCATATGGTAGTTCTATTTGTAGTTTTTTAAGGAACCTCCATACTGTTCTCCATAGTGGCTGTACCAATTCACATTCCCACCAGCAGTGCAAGAGTGTTCCCTTTTCTCCACACCCTCTCCAGCATTTATTGTTTGTAGATTTTTTGATGATGGCCATTCTGACTGGTGTGAGATGATATCTTATTGTAGTTTTGATTTGCATTTCTTTAATGACTAATGATGTTGAGCATTCTTTCATGTGTTTGTTGGCAATCTGTATTCCTTCTTTGGAGAAATGTCTATTTAGGTCTTCTGCCCATTTTTGGATTGGGTTGTTTGGTTTTTTGATATTGAGCTGCATGAGCTGCTTGTAAATTTTGGACATTAATCCTTTGTCAGTTGCTTTGCATTTGTTTATTGGATATATTATCTGCCTTCCACACTAGAATGCAAGCTCCATAAGGGCAAGGATTCATGTTTTGTTCAGTCACCAAGTCCTATCAATTCTACCCCTTAGAAATATCTTCATTCCATCTTCTTCTCCATTATCACTACCTTCGCCTTAATTCAGTTGCCATCACCACTTGCTAGGACTATTATAGTATTCTCCTACTTGACTTTCTGCGTTCACCTTCTTTTGATGTCTTTCTCTCCCATTACTTACCAGTTTGATAGCACTGTAGTTGATATGTATTCATGTCTCTCCTACGTAGAATCCTTTGTAGGGGACACCCTCTTTGCCTACTGGATAAAATTCAAGCCCCTCAACACAGCATCCAAGTCACCTCCTGCAACCTCCTCACCTTTACCAGCAGCACCAAACTGCTTATATCTCCTCATGTCCTTGCCTGTGTCCTTGGGACATACTGGTTCTTCTACTTAAATGTCCTTTCCTGACTCTCAGAGGTAGATAAATATTTCTTCCTTTGGCCATACTTCTATTGCATTTATTATACTGTGGTGGAATTTTTTTCTTTTTTTGCTTACATGTAGGTCTCTTATTAATCTATGAGCTCTTAAGGGGAGAGAGTTGTGTTTTATTCAGGCCACAGCTTCTGTCACACAATAAGGGGTAGATGAAGATTGGAGTAGGGCATGGAGAACGTTCAAAGCAGAAGGGACTGTGTGTGTAAATACTCTGAGGCATGAGGGGGCTTGGCATCTTCAGAAAAGAGAGAAGGGCTGTGTGACTGACCCAGTGAATAAAGGGGAGAGCGGCAGGAGGCAAGCTAGAAAGACTGTGGGAACCAGATCACGCAAGGCCCTTGTCGAACATGCAAAAGATCTTGAACATCATCCTATGAAGCCTCTAAAAGATTTTAAGGAGAATAAAGGTAAAATTTGCACTTAAAAAAAAAAACCCTCATGAAGCTTGCTATGTAAAGAATGGATTGAATGAGTACAAGAACAAATAGAGAGAGACCTGTTTGGACACTAGTGCAGTCGTCCAGGCGAAAAGGGATGATGCATTGGCCTGGGTTGGTAGCAGTGGGGATAGTGAAAAGTAAACAGATTCAAGATATATCTTGGAGGTAAAATGAACAGGACTTGATAGGACAAAATGGGGTGAGGAAGATAGATTGCACAACTGAATGGCTGATGGTATCATTTGCTGAAATGCAGATTTGTCCTAGGAAGTTCAAAGGAGCAATAGCTAAGTTTTGAGAAGTTGAGTTTGAGATGCCCGAGTATGAGACATATAAAGGGATATGCTGAAAAGGCAGCTGAATATGGAGGTATGAATTTCAGAAGAGAGGTCTGAGCTGGAAGAATAGCTAGGAGTCATGAGCACACAGACTGTATCTAAAGCCATAAGAGTTGATACGAGAGCCAAGGAGACATGGTAGCATGAAAACAGAAGAGGATTATGGATGATGCAGAGTTGAGAAGAAATTCATTGGATTGGAAATAATGAGAACAGGAAGCTAAGAGGCCACATGGACTTTATAATTGCCCAGGAGAGTGGCAGAAGTTGAGGGGACAGGAAGGCCATGAGCCAGGTGCTTGCAGATCTTCAGAGAATGAGAAAAGTGGCCAAGAGTTTGGAAGATCATTGCATTCAGAAGGGAGAAAAGATGAATGGATAGATGACATGAACCTTAAAAAGGCAGATTTTGCAAGAGGGAGAGGGAATAGTGAGGAGAAACAACCTAAATTTCCCCTTAATTGTATTCTCTGTTTCAGATAATGAGGATCTTCAAGAATGTCTTCGAACTGCAGGTTAAACAGGCTCAAAGAAATCCCACCCCTATTGTTCCAGACTAAGCCCATCCCCTGGGGCTTAATCAAGGCAGAGAAGCTGCCAGAGTGAGGAGGCCAAACCTGTGGGAAGGTGGCATGGAATAAGAATGACAACTAAGAAGCTGTACTAAGAGTTCAGGTGAGAGCAGGTGAGAGATTGAATTAATGCAGAGGCAGATGGGACAGCAGGGAGAGAGAGCTTGAGGAAACATCTCTAACATAGCTGGAGACTGAGTTCAATCATGTGACCAATGATCCAATCAGTCATGCCTTCCCAGTGAAATCCCAATAAAGTATCTTGATGCTGAGGTTCAGAGGAGTCCCTGGTTGGTGAACACGGATGTGCTGGGAAGGTGACATGTCCTGGCTCCCCAGGGAGAAGATATGGGAGCTCCATGTTGAAGACCCTCCCAGACCTCACCCTATGTGTCCCTTCATTTGGCTGGCCCTGGTTGTATCCTTTAAATAAAACTGTAATTGTTAAGTGCAGTGCTTTTCTGAGTCATTCAGTTCTGTGATTTATTCTTGTGAATTATTGAACCTGATGGGATAATGGGAACCCCTGAATTTCTGCCAGTTGGTCAGAAGTGTGGGTGACCTGGGGACTCTCAAAGTGTGGCTGGCATCTGAAGTAAGGGCAGTCCTGCTGAGGACCGTGCCCTTAGACCTGCGTGGTCTTACACTACCTCCAGGTGGTTAGCATCAGAGTTGTATTCAGTTGGGGTTTGTTTTAGAATAACAGGTAACAAACAGAGAATTCTACTCAAACTGACTTTAAAAAGTGAAGGGAATTTATTGGTGCACATTACCAAAAAAGTCCACAAGTAACATGGCTTCAAGCATGGCTTGACCCGGCAATTCAAATAATGTGACCAGGACCCAGTCTTTCTCTCCTAGTTCTTCCTGAGACTGGCGTCATCCTCAGCAAACTCTCCCTTCCTGGTGCAGGATGGCTGCCAATAGTTCCTGAAGCTATGTGCATGTGGATTGACCTCCAGTTAAGAGGCAGATTTTTATTCATTCAAATAGATGTTCAAGAATTGAGTATAACTGGCCTAAATTGGGTCATATTCCCATCCTTGAATGAATTATTATGACCAGAAATAGTGCCATAAGTCAATCAGAACCTACTTCTAAAACCAGAGGTGGGATTTATCTTACTTAAACCATTTGGCCATAAATGGCTTGCCTTATACAAAATCTGGGTACTACTGTTGGAAAAATGGGGAAATAAATACTATGGAAGCAATCAGTAATGGAACCGTGTTCAGCTGCTATTTATTCAATTGACATCTCATTTTGAAAATTAGCTGCATTCTGGAAAACAATCCCAGATTCCTTTAGTTCTTAAATTCTACACTTAAGGGTTGTTCTGTCTGTACTCCAGGTGGCTTAGATACCCTGTGAGGTTCTCTTTACAACCTAATGATTTGCTGGTACAATCCCAAATGAGAGAAATACAGCTTGTCAGATTATGGTACAATTCATCTTCTCCAGAGATCATTTATGTGACAACTTAATTATTCAGAGAATAAAACCCTAAGAGGTGCCCACACTTAAAGAGCTGATAGAAGATGATTCTGCAGAAGAACATCTCCATGCCCTCAGCTCTGAAAAATCACTTGAAACTACTGAAAGAGATGTCACAAAGTTTACATACCAGAGTTCATGGACTTTAGTTATGGGAAACATTCTTCGATCCTCTCTTAGAGTCAATTTGCCATGATTCTAGGTGCAGTTCTAACAGGTTTGTTATCTGATGCAATGATCATCTTTGTTTTTGCTTGTTCACTGTTCTTTCTTATTTAGGCAAAAGCACCCTGATTTTCCGTTGGGGAACCTAGTTCTCTCTAACTTTCAGTGTTGTGGTTTTGATAGGACTGATACTACCCACAAGGTCCAAGAATGAGTACAAGGATCTGGCCAGTCCCTTGGCCATACCATGACTGATCTGAAATGGGAATGTGGCCCAACCTGGGCTATTGAGAGCCCTACCCAGAACTTCGCCTGCAACTCTTATGGGGTTGCTAGGTTGTTACGATGTTAAGACCAGACATGTTGTTGGGCTATCAAGGGGGAGAATCCAGCTGGAAAATGAAACCGACATAGAGAGAAAAGCAGAGGAGAGATAGACAGAGACAGAGGCAGAGAAAGAATCCACTTCTGATGTTATTTGGGCCCCTGGAACGAGTCATGACTAAAACTCTTGGATGTTTCAGTTACAGGAGGCAACAAATTTCCTTTTCTGCTTAAGCCTGTTTGAGTCAGGTGTCTGCACTAAAGTAGTTTAAACTAATTCATCTGGTTTTCTGCAACAAGCAAATTGGAAGCAACAACAGAGGAGGGTTTTTGCTTGGAGGCATATGAATTAGCAGCAGTTTCACTAATTTTTTAAAAATGTTATGAATTCTGCACACTAAATGAAATAAAATCCAATATTTTGGTACTTTGTGCTGACACCAAAGGAAAGCAAAGGAAAACTACAAAATCTCTCTCTCTAATTAAAAAAAAAAAGAAAGAAAGAAAAAGAAGGAAAGCAGTTTGGGATCCAGATCATGACATCATATCTTACAGTACAGGACAATGTTTGATAGTCCTGATGTGACATTCCCTATTTTTATACCTGTCATCAATGGTCTTTCACACTTAAAACCATCTTTGATTCCTCTCTTAGTGAGTAATTACAATACTAGAGCAAAATTATATTTTTAAGCTTTCTGCTTTAATTTCCTGCAAAGCCAAAATACTGGATTTTTTTACATGTTTAGAATTTATAAAGTTTTAAAAATATTAATGTAACTAAATATTATTTAACACATTTAAAAACAAAAATTGTAAACAAATTACAAAATATCCTTCTGGCCACTACTGGCTCTGCTGCTTTCTGCAACTTCACTTCTACCCCACACATATCCATACACATCATCTATGATGTAGCTGGTTAGGAAGAGCTTCTAGACTTTCCTTCCCAGTTTAGCAACCCATAGGGTTTTCAGGACTACTTCCTCTGATTGAAAATGATTTCTCTCCTGTGAGCCCAAAACAGATGGCCCTAGCTGGGTCTGACTCTTCTCCATCCCCTATGGGGAGATTTCCTACTTCAAAGACTCCTCCTTTTTAGTCCTCGCTCAGCATTTTTGCTGAGAGAGCGTAGTGGAGGATGAAGTTTGGAAGAGGTAGGGAGTTACTGGAATGGGGTGGTAAGGAGGGGATGGGAGGGTTTATGGTGATAAATGGTAATGGTTTATGGTTACTGATGAGGAGGAGGTTAGAGCAGGAGGAGGAAGGAGGGTTTGAAGAGGACCTAAGAAGAGTAAATAAAGCTGCTGACCGAGGTCTAAAATAATGGTATTACACCAATAAAAATACCTTAATTTCAGTGCTTAAAAATAGCACAGTATATGGGTACACTGGAATATAGAAAACAGTAATGCAGTCATGATTCCCTCTTCCCTGACCTTCAGTCAGAGTAGCCTCTAAATCTTGTTAATTCAATTTCAGACACATGCCACTCCACCTGGAGATTCAACTTCCTGAAGTATTCTTGGCGCAAACCTTGAAAGGCTCTGGTTCTGTTTTAAGAAGGAAAGCCATGTACTTACATCACTTATACACCCTGCTGCCAGATTAATAGTTCTGAATCACAGTTCTACCACAGAGCAACGAATATTTATTGAATATTTGGTATGTGGCAGGCACCAGGCTCTCTTTATATTACCTTATTTAACCTTCATAACAGCCCTTCGTAGTAGATACTGTCATTAACCCCATTCTGTAGATAAGAAAATAGAAGCCTAGGAAAATTAAGTCTCTTGAAAAGGAAACATAGCTCCTAAGTGGCAGAACTAGGTTTGGAACTAATCTGTCTCACTCCACTTGGGTCCTTAACCTCTATTCTTTTTTTGGTTTTTTTTGCGGTACGCGGGCCTCTCACTGCTGTGGCCCCTCCCATTGCGGAGCACAGGCTCCGGATGCGCAGGCCCAGCGGCCATGGCCCACAGGCCCAGCCGCTCCGCAGCATGTGGGATCTTCCCAGACCGGGGCACGAACCCGCGTCCCCCGCATCGGCAGGCAGACTCTCAACCACTGCGCCACCAGGGAAGCCCTTAACCTCTATTCTTTATCACCTCTTCTGCTCAAAATCTGAGTGAGTAGTCAATAAAGTTATCACCTCTTCTTTATCTATTCTTTATCACCTCTTCTGCTCAAAATCTGAGTGAGTAGTCAATAAAGTCTAAGGGCTTATCACTTAAGGCCCTTACCCCCAACTGCCATTCCAATTTTATTTTCTACTATGGCCCTTCATACATCTGATTTTCAGGGCAAATAGAAGTATTTGTTGATCACCAATATGCCTCAGCAATACACACTTCCGTGTCTTTGTTTATGGAGGAATGTTTTCTCTATGTCACTGGTTCCAGAAAAAAATAGAAATATTTAAATCACTGTTTCACACAATAATTGTCATAGTTTTTATTTTCCATTACAATAACAGCCATTGATTTTTACATATATACATATATACACACACATATATATATTTCTTCCCTTAAAATAAACTATTTTCTTCTGAAGTATGTACAAAGATTAAGTGGTTTGGAAATGTATTAGGCCTTTACAAATTGTTTATAAATCCAAATCCAACAGAATTAGGATTCCAAATAGTAGAAGTCATTTTACCAGAAGTCCAAAAAGTCTTCAGGGTCTCCCAAGATTATCTAAAATAAACACAGAAACAAAAAAGTATTCAGGACAGAAATTTGGCAAGTGGTCAGTCTCCTTTTGTAGGGTGCCTCTACTCCTAACAGGCATAATTTTCAAAAAAAAAAAAAAACCTGCTGTGGAATAAATTTCATGGATTAAAAAAAATGCTGAGTGACGTTACCTTGAATGTACAGTCGATTTGGCCACAATACAGCTTCAGCTTTTTAAAAAGCAGTAGCTCTCCAGAAAACAAAAAGAGAAGGGAAGATTTTCCAACTTATTTTAGGAGGCTACCATTACCTTGATAACAAAACCAAAGAGAGTCCAAAAAAGAAAACTACAAACCAATAGCCCTCATGAACATAGATGAAAAAAATCCTCAACAGGGGAATTCCCTGGCGGTCCAGTGGTTAGGACTCGGTGCCTCCGCTGCATGGAGCCAGGTTCGATCCCTAGTCAGGGAACTAAGATCTTGCATGCCGTGCACTGGCATGGCCAAAAAAAAAAAAAAAAAAATTCTCAACAGAATTTAAAAATTGAATTCAACAATATATAATATACACATATATATTATAGAATATATATACATAAACAATAACACATCATGACCAAAAATTCAAAGCTGACTGATTCAGTATTCAAAAATCAGTCAATAGACCCACAAAAATATAGTCATTTGATCTTTGACAAGCAAAGGCAATTCAGTGGAGAAAAAATATGCTGTTCAACAAATGGTGCTGGAAAAACTGGACATCCATGTGCAAAAAAAATG